CGAGAACATGTTACTACGAGAGAACATGATAACAATTAAGAGGTTCACAGAATGTCAATGAAGGAAACACTATCGCGTACTAAACTAAATAATGATAAACTTTTTAGACCTGTTGTGACGATTATACATATTAATTCATAGAGAGTTTAATTAATGATAATAGAGTTCTATATATTAGGTTTTGTAGATATGTATAGAGATATAATTGATATCTATTCGATAGAGAAATTGATAATATATTTAAAAAAACAAAAAGATGATATATACATATGTATATATATACATATGTATATGTATATATATGTGTATGTATATATATATGCATATATATACACACGCGCATGCACGCGCACATACATATACACAGACACCCGCGTTCATGTGCTCATTCATTTACACTAAAAAAATACATCTGGTCATGTACGCAAACTGTATGTGTGTGCAAAAAGAAGCGTACCAGTAAAATTATCAGTAACAAAAACAAAAAAAAATAAGAAGAAGAAGAAGAAGAAGAGGAAGAAGAATCACAAAGTTGAAGTGCGCTAAAACATGGATTTGAAATGACAAAAAATAATTCATCATTTCATGCCTTTTTCTACTCTCTTCGTGGCTTTTGAGATGATTTTGATCAATGCTGTATATATATATATGTAGATCCTATAATGTATGCACGGACCAGTTTCGAAATTTTGTTAAAGGATCAATATATCATGTCGAATCGATACTATTGATTGGAACGTAAGGCATAAGAACACAAGAGGTCAACTTATTTTTATAAAAAAAGAAAATACAAAAATAAATATATCCGTAATATTAAGAGTATCGCGAATACCTGATAAGTAATGAGAGAAAGCGAGAGAGAAAGAGAAAGAGAGAGAGAAAGAGAGAAAGAGAAGATGTGTATACAAAGATGAATATCGATGGTGGACTGGTCTTGCATACATTAAACGTCTAGTTCTATATAGAGAGAACGTATATATTTTTACAGGGCACTGCCCGCGTGATAAAAGCTCTTCCTAATAATTCGCTAAAACACAGTTTATTAGCTTAAACCATTTTACTAATCGTAATCAATAGCGTAACTCGCGGTGACATTACAAGTACAGCACGGTAGCGCAGCCTGAACAATCCCATGTGTTTATATATATATACATATATATGTATGTATATGGTTACACGCCATATAATTCCGAAATTCTCGTGCAAAAACAAAAAAATACAATGTACAATCTCTTTTTATTCTTTCGAAGAACGAAAACACACACGCGTGTCGTCGAAAATGCGCACGCACAGAGAATACACAACTACTTGGTTACCAATTTAAAATTATTTGAAAAATTTTAAATCGGAGACGTTTCTAGTCTTACGACTACGTACGCGAACGTAATGAAAAGAAAGAGAAAGAAAAAGAAAAGCAAAGGAAAGAAAGAGGGTATGAGTTGTTACGTCGATAATGATATTTAATGCGTCACAGTTGAGAATAACAATGAATTGTTACCTGTAAAATATATGTTACTGCTGGCTCAGATATATTCGGATGCGAGACGCGTATATATATATATATTGCTTTCAAGAAGGTGCAATTTAGTTTAACTTATTGATAAC